ATTCTTATGTAAATCAATCGATAAGATATAAATAAAACTAATTAAGGCATTGTATAACTAAGGACAGCATCTGTTTTGCGATATTCACAATTAAAAAATTCCTTTTAATTTTATAATAATAATAATAGTATCATTATAATATAAAATATAATGATACATTTATGGCCTAGAAATTTTTAAAAATAATAACATTAACTTGAAAATAAAGTATAAGTTTGAAATAACTCAAAATGTTGTAAAATAGCAAAGCTTGACACAAATAATTAAAATAATTTTAAATATATTCTACACTATTTTAATAAAAATATATTAAATAAAATTATGAGATTTTATATAAAAAATATTGATTATAAATACAGGAATTGGGAAATTGAATTAAACAAACATAAAAGAGGACAAAAGGCCAGTTTATTCAAAGCCTGTTTCCGTACGTTCGGACCACGATATGTATGCATTGGATTGTATACTGTATTAATTGTATGTAAATTAGATTACAATTTATAAATATTAAGCAATACAAAACTTGAATTGCATATTTGACAGCATTGCGTTATAAGACTGGCAATACCCGTAGCATTAGGTCTATTGGTTCACTATCTGAGTGAATGGCAACTATTGGTAGAGAAAGGATTAGTGGACAAAAATGCTCCGTTTGACTGGAACTCGTACAGGGCTTACATCTATTACTGTTCGGCAGTCATATGTGTTGTGCAATGCATTAACGTCTATGTGGCGCACCCCTACTTCTTCGAGTGCTACCGCATGGGAATGGAGTTACGAGTGGCCAATACTAACCTCATATACAATAAGGCACTCAAATTGTCAAACAGTGCGATGAGAAATACTACTGTGGGAACGATTGTTAACTTATTGTCCAATGATGTCAATAGATTTGATATAAGTCTGGTTTACGCCCACTATCTGGTTGTGGGACCCCTTCAGATGGTGGTCATTATTGGTCTCCTGTGGTGGCAAATCGGTGTGTCGTGTTTGGCCGGCATTGCGGTAATGGTATTGTATATACCGTTTCAGGGAATTATGGGTCACTTGTTCTCCAAAATTAGGATCAGTTCATCAATTTTGACGGACGATAGGCTACGGCTAATGAACGAAATAATACCCGCAATGAGAGTCATCAAAATGTATGTCTGGGAGAAACCCTTTGGAAAGTTAGTCCAAATGGCAAGAGTGCGTGAAATCAAAGCCATTCATAAGGCTATGGTCTTGAGATCAATCAATTTGTCCATTTTTTTCATATCTTCCAAATTGATTACATTCTTGTGTCTCATTGTATTCATCCTAACCGATGGCAAACTCACCGCACAGAATGTCTTCGTCAGCCTTTCACTCATCAATCAATTGCGAGATGTGATGACACTCTTCTTCCCGTACGCGCTCTCATTGGGCGCCGAATCACTCATTTCTCTCCAAAGAATTCAAGTAAAACAACACTTTTTATAGTTTATTCAAATTTTATGATTAATTTTATTTTTTAATTCAGGAATTTTTGTTATCGGAAGAATATGTGCCAAATCAGAAACAAATTGAAGCCAATGTAAGTTATAATTTAATTATGTTTACTAAATTAACTTTAATTTAATAAACTTTAATGTTTTATATAAAGCCAAATGCAGGCAATGGTGTGTCTGAGAAAACAAAAACAATTGACACTTCCGTTGACGACATCGACGAAGAGTCCAAATGTAAAATATCTGTGCAAAACATTAGCGCCGAACACACGTCCAAAGACGGAGCCGTAACCCATATATTGAATAACATCTCGTTTGACGTAAATCCCGGAAAATTGACTGTAATTATCGGTTCTGTCGGTTCGGGAAAGACGGCTGTATTGATGGCAATACTCAAAGAGCTAAAGATAAAATCGGGTTCAGTGTCTGTGTCGGGAAAGTTGGGTTACGCGAGTCAGGAGTCATGGATTTTTGGCGGAACTGTTAAGGAAAACATATTATTTGGCCAAAAGTTTGACGAACGGAAGTACACGCGTGTCGTACACGTGGCCGCACTCGACGAGGATCTCAAACAACTGCCTGCAGGCGACCAAACAGTGGTCGGCGATCGGGGCGTCACTCTTAGCGGCGGTCAGAGGGCGCGCGTAAGTCTCGCCCGAACTCTCTATAGTAATCCCGACTGTTATCTGTTGGACGACCCGTTGTCTGCTGTGGACTCGGCTGTGGCTAAACATATATTTGAAAAATGCATTAAAGGATATTTGTCGAGCAATTGTGTCATTTTGGTCACACATCAGTTGCAGTTCATTAAAGCTGCCGATCAGATAGTGGTGTTGAATGAGGGCAAGTGTATAGCACAGGGAGACTACACTCAACTACTCAAAGAAGGTTTGCATTACACTAACGTTATAACAAAATAT